GAAACGTTGTACATTTGCTGTTATATTAAAGTTTTTCTTCATTACCCATTCAAGCCGTCTCCAGCCATTATTAGTCTCAAAGTGGGTTCCTCGTCATCGAATTAGGCTTAAGTTTCATTAGTGGGCTGAGAGCAAAAAAGCAAGAGACCAAACACAAGTACTAAATTTTTATTTTTAAGTATACTTTTGATTTATTGCTGTAAAAGTATCTAAAATGTAAAACATTAGAAACTTATTAGGTTAGACTAGATAAGGAAAAAAAAATTATCCACGAGGTAAGCCCATGAGTAGCTCATACGTTACGTTATTCAATAAGGTAATTTGAGCTTTGTGTCTGCCAAGTGATTTGCAGCTTGTATAATGGCATTATTAGTTAGACATGGTTTAAAGGGTAATAAAACAATAAAATTATGTAGAAATAGGTAAAGACTGTTAGGAGCCTTAAGCTATTTAGGATAAACAATTATAGCTTTCTCTTACAATCTGCAGTTATTCTAGTAAAAAAAACGGTAATTTCGGTTTAGCTAGAATTTTTTGTGGTGGTTACAAGGTCAGTCAAATTAACCAAGTCCATACATGGCAAAAATAGATAAGATATAGAGTTTTACAAAAACAATATCTGATATTCCTTTAGGAGGTTTTAGAGCTTATGCAAATGAAATTTGAAAGCTGTAAGATGAATAAAAGTACTTTTAATGTTTACTAAACTTGTAATGTTTACTAAAAGCATCCCAAACTTCATGAAGATACACGAGCCACATTAAAAGTTATAGTATGGATTCTTTTATGGTTACCAAGAGGTTACTCGGTCAGCCAAAATGACCAAGTCCATATCAAAATAGTTAATGAATTAATTATTTTAAGTCCTTTGCTTTCACAGCAGATGAGATAGTTTTGTCCATTGGACCCAGAAATACAAATATTTTTACAGGAACTATGATAATTTTTCAAAGTAAAGCACTTTCCTGGTTCTGAGCATTTTCTATATAAATTCAGGATTTTATTTTTTCTTTAAGACTTTGAGCTAAGAATATACCAAAAAAACTCAAGAGACTTTTTTTAAAAAATTGTATTACATTTATTGATACCATTGGTTTTCTTAGATACAAAAAATGCTTCTGTATTGCAAACAATCATCATTCCACGAAAAACTAAACACTTAAACTATTAAAAAATTATATAGGTATAACATCTTTAATTGTGTATTAATAAACTTAAAAAATCACTTTTACATTAGTTAATAAAAAATATCGTCATTTTCTATTAAAATTGTACAGTGAAACTTTTTAAACATTTTGTACTGAACCTTTGTATCATAAAAACAACAACATCTGACTCTAAAAGCACATAAAATGGCTTTGAAACTTAATATCAAACATGGCACTATCTCATTAAAGATGTTATGCATTTAAAAAAGTAGAATCTACTTACCCAATTTCTAAAACAAATATCATGATGTTATCAACAATGATAACTGTTAAGATACTATAACATAATAAAATTATGAATAAATAATATTTTTATTCTATTTCTTTTACATGACTTTCAACAAACTCTGAAGCATGATTTGCAGAGTAAGCTACATGTATAACCACAAAAAGGATCTGTACGCTCCTCCCCACTTGTCTCTATGGGAATGTGAAGGTCACTTCTGGTTCTTTGTCTAAACATATATATAAACCCTGCTACAAAACATTTCAGTCTGTACCTGATGATGCCTTTAATGCCAAAACCATGGTCGTAATAAACGTATTTGTGAAACGTACAACTGTCTTGATTTTACTCAATTCTGTAAATTTACTGTTTTCTTAATTAAAAAATTTTAAATTTTGTTTTTAACTTCATATCAGTCATATTACTAATGATATAAGCTTTGGAGCTGCTGGATTATAACTTGAATAAGCTAATCATTTACAGGATATAGTAACAACATTTTAACTTTGACTTATTTAAGTTACTGTAGGACAATATCATCAACACTGATATACATTATTATTAACGTTGAAGTATCTTCTTTCATATAAAAATACTGGAAATTTAATTACGTGTGTTTTCTGCAAAATGTGCATATAGGACCTGTAGAATTATAGGTTTCTATTATATGACACCAGGGGTGATTTGAAAATTACTTTAAAAACACAAACAATGTGAATGAAAATAAGAAAATTAATATCATGTTAAAACACTGCAGTTGGTAAAAGTTATGAAGCTCACATTGTTTTTGCTTGTACAAAAGTAAGGGTGCATACTGATCAATTAATGAGCCTGTCAATTAATTTGCTTTTTAAAATTTGTAACCAAAATATCATTATTCCTTATCCTCAATGCAGCAAAACATTGAACCTAATACAGCAATGATCACTTGCACCCAGATGTTTCCCAATATCCTCCCTCTCAATGATTTCTTTTTTTGAAATTAACAATAAATTTAAAATAGCATTATTTCTAGTTGGTTCCTTGACTAATTGGTGAAGAAAGCCATATTGAACAGTCTTCCAAAAACCTTTCTTCCTCACAGTTTGACTCTAGCATTTTCAAATGTGTATGCCTGAAATCGTAGAGAAAAGTTTAGCATAGGATATGAGTATAGAAGTACATGTAGTTATAAGGATAGGCTTAATTGTCATAATTGTAATGCTAGAAGTATAAGAAATAAAATGGATAACTCTAGAGCACTGGTAGCAATGGAGCATTTTTTTGAAATACAGGTTATTTAATAGGGATAGAGTACTAAAGAGGGGAGGAGGAGTGGCTCAATATGTAAAAATGTGAGTTACATCAAAGATGGCAGGAGATTTTATCCATTTGGGTTTCTATTAGAGTATATAAAGGGGAAAGGCTTTTACTTTGTTTCAGACTACCAGATGATACTGATGAAATTAGTGAGAAGCTTTAGAACAAGATTAAGATATTACATATTAATGAAGTCATCATTATCGGTGATTTTCTCTTATTCATTTTGTATATAGTTTATTCTGGCCCTCACCACTGTATAGTCCTAGTTTAAAACTTCCCTTATAGCTGAGTCAATAGCCCTTGCAAACAAGCCAAACCCTATCTTATTTAAATGTAAACCATCCATTCCAAAAAGCTTACTTCTTTCATTGAACTGATCCCACAAGTCCAAACAGTCAATCTGCTCATCCTTACATACTATACTTTAGCATTTAGCCCTAGTGAACTACTTAACTTCACAGTTAATTCTCGGCAATATCACAGACAAAATTTAGTCATGGCCTTTTCCTTAAATGCCTTTATCAACCCCTCGTACTTATTAATTAGCTCCTCTGACCTACCTTTCCCGATATCATTCCATTACATGCACAACAAAAACTGTATCTCTGCTAGCCCCTTTACTATATCTCCTGCTCTGTCAGTTATATCCTCCATCTGTGCCCCTGGGTAGCATAATCTGATTCTTTTCTTCCTATTTACCCCACAGACTATCCTATCCACATGCCTTATCAAGGAATAACCTATAACTATAACCCTCTTAAGTTTATCATCCATATCCTTCTCTGCCCTCCAATAGTTTCTCATCTGCACAAGCCAAGAGCTGAAATCTGTTGCTCAACAGAACAGGTTCATTACAATTAAATCCACAACTTTTAACCCTAATAGTACTCTTTGTAACTTACTGAAATTCGTTGTTAGCTGATGTATTCCTTGTGTGTAAAAACTTAAGCTCCTCTTGAAATTCTGCTGCCATTTCCAACAGTCTACACTTCTCTCTATCTATTGCCTCTACCTTAATTGGATTTATTATCCAGGGAAGGTTATTGACACATATGGCCAAATACAAACAAAACATAAGACATGTCTAATAAAAACTGTGAATAACAATATATTGTAATTTCACAGTCAATACTGAAAAGGAAAGAACTGAGTTACTCAACTTATTTCATGTTTTTCAACCATTCTTTTCATTATACTTTGATGTCTCTAACAACTGTGGAATCAAATATACTGTCTGTGTAGAGAAATCTACAAATAAAATATTTTTCAAATTCATTTAGGAAGTTCCAAAGGTTATGCAAATGAAATACGAAAACTTTAAAATGAAAATAAGTAGTTTTATTCCTATCATGAAATCCACCTTTTATAAAGACTGACTCAGTAAATTCTCATATGAATCTTTATTAGAAATACTTTATTTTAAAATCTGACTTTTTGCATGTAACACACTTTTCATGTTTACTAAAAAACTGCCAAATTTTATGAAGATATACTGAATAAATTTGGAATTATAGTAATTGTTAATTCTTCAATAAAGACTAGGTCCAATGGACTGAGCCCATGTAAGTAGGGTTAATCCAGAGCAATTTATTACCTAGTATTCAAACACAGACAAGTTTTATAGCAAACACAATATTATATTAAAAAACAAAATAACATATGGAGTGGTTTCACAATGAAAGAACAATCCCTGGGGTTTAGTGATATGTAAACACTACTGCTAAACATTTCACTTTAGAATTGAAATCTTGTATGAAATAATAGATTCACACTTAATCTGAATCTTGTTGCACACACTCACTGTCACTAGCTACATGAACAAACTAAAATGATGAAAGTTCTTCCAGAGGAGAAGATGATGATCCTGACTGGGAAGTGCTGGGTTTCAAAAATAATGTGGTTTCATTTAATTGTCGTGATACAGACTTCTGTAAAGCTGAAAAGAAAATGTTGTATAAATCAGAACTTGAAATTTTCAGTTTAGTCATTACTAACTTTTCATACATATCTAATAAAAGAAGACTATAATGTTCAACTCATTTAGTATATTACAACACAGTTTCAATCTGACACGTTTGATAATATAGTTTACATGTACTCCCTAATAATAGAAGACTATAATGTTCGTCTCATTTGGTATATTACAACACAGTTTCAATCTGACACGTTTGATA